CCAGGCTTTTGAATTTACAGCCTTTCTCTGCAGAAACAGAAACTTTTGATGAACAACCTGGAGTTCTGACCATTATTATGGGATCAGTTAAAGCCGAAGGAACGGAGACTCGTGAGAAATAAACTAAACAATGTTCCCAAAACACAAACAGGCCCCAGTGTGGACAAACATGAGTAAATATTTATTTTCCTGTTCTGAGTTTAATAAGAACGGACGCTTCTTATTAATCACCAAATGAGCCACGTCGTTATTGATTTACCAGCAAATAACACGAGACTCAAAACGATTCTGACCATTGAAACGATGGCAGTATCGCAGTATGTGAAGTCTTAACTACTGCAGTAATACTACAGAAGTACAATGAGGAACACAAATAGAAGTTGTTGACAATTTGTTTTTATTCTGTTTTACCACAGATAAAAAACAAACAAATATTCCTGATTCCAAATAACGAGGACAGCAACATTACGTTGTTTTGCTGTTAGCAAGCAAGCTGTAAACGCGGTGTGAAACGTGAGATTAGTTTAATCCTGTTTTTGTTAGAAAATTAGAAAATAGATTTATTAGCAGGGAGCCATTGCAAAAGAGGCTAAAGAGCCACGTATGGGTCAGGAGCCACATATTGAAGACCTTACCTAGTGTGTAACAGTTAGAAGAGTCGTTGGCTCAATTTGAACATCTGCCATCAAATATGTTTGTTTTGATGTTCAATCAATTTCCATTAACTTTATTGCCTGTGTTTATATACTGTATGCTAGCATAGCCAGCTACATAGATGCTGCATGAACGGCCTGCTTGGTTCTTTTGTGAATCAAACCCCAACCCACTGCTGGAGCGCTGCTGCAGTCCATTAACATGTTAAGTAGGAAGTGGGGGTGAGTCACTAATGTCACTTCCTGTTCAGAACGAGGTTAAAGATGCGCTGTAGCTGAGACTCACGCGACAAAGATGGACGCCCCGGCTGTGTCAGTGGTGTTTGGTCTTCGTTTACACTCGTTTGTGTCGACACCGACTGTGTTGTTTGTTCCTTTTGTCAATAATACTGACGTTTTCCAGGATCAGTAGTACTACAGTGCTGGTCAAAGTCAGACATCAAATGTGAGTTGTGGTGAGGTGATGACGATACACCAGCACATACTGTACCTACACTCGTACTGCTGCTCTTAAGAGTTTAATGTTAGCGCTGCTGTACCGCACCGACTCCTTTTACGTGGCTTTTAAGTCAATAGACAGAGACGGGAAAACAGCAGATTAATTCAGATGAGCAGGAAATCATCTGTGTACTACAGTGTTGGCATGGCAACAGCCATTCAGCTTCATTCTCTCTCTTTGTGTTCGGTTTCTGTGCCTAGGTGTCTGAATGAGAGGGGACTGGGGTTAATGTTAGGGTCTTAACAACCATTCAACCGCCGCGTCTCCGTGTACTCCTTTACCTCCTCATTCGCAGTAGTACGCAGTACTCAGGTGTATGAACACGGACAACTAACGTTCTCACAGACACCATGTCTTCGATGTGAATTTTTCTGAAGTTCTCAGAAAAAAAAAAAAAACATTCCTTCATTCTGAGTTTTTCTTTTTCTACAATGTATTAATTTTCACTCTCGTCACGAGCAGAGCTGGAGACAAAAAAAAAAAAACGAACAACATCACAGTCAAACAGCTCGCACATTCACACCTAAGGTCAGTTTAGAGTGAATAATGAACCTAAGTGTTTTTGGACTGAGGAGGAGCTGAAGAAAAAAAAAAGAAATTTGTCGTCTAATTGAATAATTTATAACCGTGCTGAAATACAAAAATATTATAACCTAAATCAAAGCTCCTTATCGTGTTTCAGTAATATTTCTTCAGATCTCAAATAACAAAAATAGAGTATATTGTTCCCTTGACGATAATATACATATATATAAATATAAGTACATATATATGTGAATATAAGTACATATATACATATATATACATATATATGTATATATGTATATATGTGTATATATGTACTTATATTTATATATATGTATATATGTGTATATATGTACTTATATTTATATATATGTATATATGTGTATATATGTATTTATTACTATATGTATATATGTATATATTTACATATATATTTACGTGTGTGTGTCCGTCCAAACATCGTTACCAGAGATTGAGACGCTCGTCCTAATGCTAATCTACAGCACCAGTGAAGACCTGACAGTCACCGATGTGGACGTGACCTTTGACCTCTCCTTTAGCCCCTAAGACAAATGACTGAGGCGGCTCCTCTTCTGTCACCGACCCATCATGAAGCGGCCCAGGGCTGGAACAGCTCACTGCTGTGTGTGTGTTCTTTTAGAGAAAGGTCGAATAGAAGGAAAAAAAAACAGAAATAAAAACACACACAACATTAACAACAACACTGAAAATAAAAAGGATAATGTTTTTCTCCCTCTTGGATTGATCCGGCACATGGTGTGATTTGCTCCGTTGATGTCTATCAGGTTGCGTAAGTGCAGGCCAGGCCGACCTGTTCTGAGGCGACGGTCTAATCCGCTCCCACACAGTGTCCACTCTCATCCGATTAGAGGAGCACGTAAAGCTCACTAAAACCCCAGGTTTAAAGCGATTAGGCGCGGTGGAAGAGTCTAATTACGCAGGATTACGCCGTGGGCTGTGGGCTATACAGCTGAAATTATAATTTCATTAGTCAATCAGTTAATCACCGGCTGCCCCTGACAAAACACTGGGCCCCCCCTCCAGACTCCCCCGTCCGTCCGTCCGTCCATCCATCCGGTCGTTCCACGTATCTAAATCAACCGTCACAAATTTACAGGAGGATTTTTCTGCGAGGCATTCATTATTCATCTGAAGCTCCGTACGTCTGTGATGATCTCAGTCAGAGCGGCAGCAGCAGTTCACTCATCTATGATCTCTAATAGATCATATGGGAAGGAGAGGAAGTCATTCATGTATTAGAGGTCAACGTAGCATTGACCTCCGCCCTGCGGCGTGTTATCATAGCCTCTACCGGAGGTTTTTAATCTCTTTGACCGTGAGACCCAGTTTTTATAGTAAGATGTACAGAGATCGGGCGTGTACCAATGTGAAAATGTGGTCATCTGGAGGGGCGGGGGTCTGCGCAGTGTTCGCTTTCATCTTTATTTAAAAAATACAAGTATTCTTCTCTGTATATTGGAGCTGATTGGTTCATTACTGCCACCGTGTGGACGAAAGTTGCAGAGGTGCAAAACTGAAAGTTTTTTTTGTGACTCTCTAATTAGCGCTGGCGGCCCAAGTTTGGGCCGCAACCCTATGGTTAAGAATCACTAATGCTTCTTCCACTGTTTATGAATAAAACATCGTTATTTAAGAAGATATTTATCTACAGATCCTCAATTTAAAACTCACCACTTAATGGAAGTAAAGTACGTTTACGTTTAAGAGTTCCTTGTCCGTACTAAATCTTTCGTACCAAGGTCGCGACCTTTTTTTCTCTGCTTTATATCGAGTTCTTTGTAAAAGGTTTTCATGCAAAAATAAAACTGCCATTTGAATTCAGAATTGTTTATATTGAAAATTGGAAAATCTGTTTGAATAAAATGTGTCATAACTCAAGGAGAAGGTCGTGTCATTATTTTAGCTAATTAAAAGAGAAACACAACATCTTTTTGGGAACTCTTGAACTGATTCTTCTTTTGTGATTGATGAACCTCGAGGCTAATTTGGTACGACTCCAGACTGGACCGTAGCCAGAAAAAAAAAAAAAAAAAATCACAATTTATAGAAATACTTTCCAAAGTCACGCTCCAGTATCCTTGATGAAATGATTTCTATACTGCAAGGAAACATTCGCCAAAAGATGACGATGATTTAAAAAAAATGATGGACTGGTAACTGGTCTTTAACTGGTAACTGGTCCAGGGTGTGAGTGTCTCTCCAGCTGATGAAGATGAAGATGAATGGATTACTTTGTGATAAAGTCATTAGCTTCAGGATGAGCAAACTGTGAACAAAAAAAAAAAAAGAGATGTCCTTGGGATTCTTAACATAAAAAGTTGCGCTGCAGTCATTTCATCAAAGAACAACCGAGCAATAAACGTAGAGAATTCTTCGTTTGTTCTGTAGGAAGATAAATACGTTGAAGTTGGTGCGTGATGTGCAGATGCTGCTGCAGTCCAAGTCAGGGCCGTGTTTTTGAGCTCTCTGAGGTTTGGTGTTGTGAGACCTATTATCCTGGATGAAGTCCTTTTATGATCCATCTGAGTTTGGGCCGCTACGAAACAGATAACATGTTGTAAAAGCAGCCAGGAGA